CCTCCTCCTCCTCCTTCTTCTTGTTTAATTTTTATTTGGTGCAGGATCCTGCCACACAGCTCGAACTCTTAGTGATCCTCCTGTCTCAGCCTCCCTAGTACTGGGACTACAGTCATACACCACCATGCCCAGTTTCAGTGGCCGACACTATGCACCCAGGGTTTCTGGGGCCAGCATAGGATACAGTACTGGGGATCAAACCTGGCCTTTGCCTTGCTAGGCAGGTGCTTAGAATGCTGAGCTGTCTCCCTAGCCCCAGCCCCAATATAACTTTTATTATAAAGGTTAAAATGGTCTATCTTGCTGGCTAAAATATATATTTGTGAATTTGGCTACTCTCTCTCTCTCTCTCTCTCTCTCTCTCTCTCTCTCAACACTACTATTATTTGCCTACAATTTTGTGGAGCTGAGGGCACTTAAGGCCCTCCTGGTCTCTTCCATTACATTGGTGGAATCCCACCCATTGGGGATCCATCAGCCTAGGCCTCCGCACATGCCCAGTGTCCACCCTGCATGGCATAGTGAATGGCTCTGACCCTGGTAGCAGCATCTCCAGGCAGCAAGGAGCACAGGTCTAGAGACCCAGCCTCTCTGCCCCCGCTTCAGCAGCCTTCCAAGGCACTGTTGAGGTTGTCCCACCTGCTTGGCATCTGACCACCCACCTGGGTCTGCCTGGGTCTAAAGAGGTGACAGTGTCCCTCCAGATGTCTGCTGTGCCTCTAGTTCTCTGATGAATTTTTTATTTCACCCATTTTTAATCTGATTATTAAGATGTAACATTTTATTCTTTTCTTTAATTTGAAAGGAACATTTATTTGCACAATCACAAGCAGACAAACCCAGAAGACTGAGTCTGTCTCCCCAGTGCAACACACTGAGGGGACTGCCATCACGGGGGCTCCCTCGGCAGCTGGGCCGCTACTCCTCCTTGCCAGTGGACTCTCTCTTGAACATGTAGGCCATGAAGCAAGCATCGGGTCTCTTGGGGACAAGGGGATGCCCTGGTCTCATAATCTCAAAACCCAAAAAGCTGAAGGTCTGGAGCAAGGCAGCTCTGTCCTCCCAGTTCTTGTGGAAGCAAATAAAGACGTGGTCGGCATAGAGCTGTTCCTGTGTGAACTCAAGAACTACAAAGCTGTCTTTGTTCCCCTCGGGCAGAGGGCCACCCGGGATCTCAATGTAGAGGCTGCCACCGCTCCACATGGCTCTCCAGGTAATATGTTTGGCATCCGTGAGCCTGGACTGGATATTTAGAATCCTCATCTTGTTATTAGACGTTAGTTCTTCTGTTACATTCAGCTGATTATCAGAGTAAAATGAGTTAGCTGAAAGATTGTGATCTCACTGACTATTCCCTCGCCTACCTGGGATCTTCTGGGGTGGGGAAGGGACATCAGGAACACCACAGAGGCCCTGGACCCAGGTGACTACAGCAACTGACGGAGACCCTGGAACTCTTGCTGCTGCGGCCGCCAGGGCTATGTAGACTAGGAAGTGGCATGGTGTGGCTGGCGTGAATGGAGGCATTAGGTTTATTGGTGAAGCAGTGGCTATTGAGGATCCACTGCAGGGAGGATTTCACCAACTGGCCACCGGGGTCCAAAACCAGGAAAACCTCTGAGGCACCTCTCCGCGCCACCACAGCTGCTTGCCATTCTCAAAATCATATTTTATTCTTTTAAAAAGTTATTTTCAGGGGCTGGTGAGATGGCTCAATGGTCTAAAGCACCTACTTAGATCAAGCTTCCCAAAGCACAGGGACCGCGGTTCAATCCCCAGAGCCACATGCCAGCCAGCCCCGCCCCCTGGTGGGCTGAGCTGGCCACACACACACACACACACACACACAAATAAATAAAATTTTTTTTTTTAAAAAGTTATTTTCAGAGTTTTCCACTTGAGCTAGGGGTGTAGCTTACTGGTTGGGCACACGCTAGCCATGGGTGAGGCCCTGGGTTCCATCTTCAACATTGCAAAAAATATATATTAATCATCATTTCACCCATGATTACTCACCTCCCTATAAGCAAACTATAAAACCACCTGAAATAAAATCAGTGGTGGAAGAGCCAAAGACTGAGAGGAGCTGAGATTGTTCCCAGTTCCTGGAAAGCCTCAAGCACAACTTTGTCAGCGGGCATGGAGCCAGAAGGAGCAGCCGCGTACCACACCGTCTGTTCTGTTTGCTGTCTCCGTGGTCCCTCCCAGCAAAGAGGGTGTCGGAGCTGGCAGAGCTCACGGGGCTTTTGGCCTTCTCCCTCTTCTCTGCCTCAGCTGCTACTTCAGGGACTGCCTCAACCAATGCCTTTGCTTTTCCAAATCATCATCAAATGTAAAATGCATGCTGCCAAAAGAAAAGTTGCCTTGCTTCCTGAACACCTTCAATAGGAGAGTCCTGTTCATCGGAGTCCCTGTTGCCCTTTGGGTTTGTATGCATCTCCATTTATATGTGGTCACACCAGGTTGTATCTGTCTGCAACTTGGGTGTAACCGTGTCTGCTTTCTGTCTCTCTGTCTCTGTCTCTCTGTCTCTGTTTCTCTCTATCTCTCCCTCTCTCTCCTCTCTGTCTCTCTCTCTTTTTTCTCTCTCTCTCCCTCTCTCTCCCTCTCTCTTTTTCTCTCCGCCTTTCTCTTTCCCTCTTCTGATTCTCTCATCTCTATTTCTCTTAATGCCTCTCTGTTGGTTAATTTGTTCATTCATTCATTCATTCATTCATTCATTCAGTGTCACAAATATTCCTGGACAGTCCTTAGGAAATCAAAGCCTGGTGAAGCCAGGTACCAACCCAGACTCCTTTGATTAAGGCTAGGAGACAGCGAAGTGTTTGAGGTTGAGAAAGGTGTTGTAGCTGAGTGGGGACAGTGAGAGAAGGCTGCAAGAAGGGACAATGTGTGTGTGTGAGAGAGAGAGTTGGACACATGGCCCCAGGATAGGAAACTATGTCTGGGTGTCAGGGAGGTATGTGTTGAGGTGGAGGAATAGAAATCAAGAGGCCAACTTCATACTAGAACAGAAGCAGAGAAGAGGATAGGGAGAAATCAGCAAAACACAAATCCAATCAAAGTAAAGGTTATAGGACCTTAATCCAACCTCTGGAGCTGGGGCCCTAAGCCCCCTCACCTTCAAGACCCAGGACTCATCTGGGCCCCAAAGAGATTACCTAAAAGGAAACCAGCCCACACAAAGGAGGGTGGGGTGAGGAATCCTAACCCAGCTGGATGGCCAGGATGTCCCAGGCATAGCAGGGAAAACCAGCCAGACAGCAGGTCAGAGTCCAAGCAGCTGTTCTGGGTGTCACAGTTCAGTTCCAGGCTCATAATGAGGGGTCCCAGGAACATTCTGCTCTGTCTCTTTGGAACCATGCTACTCTGCCTGACAGGTACCTAAACTTTGAGTACAATGGTAAAAAGGACTTGGGGGTCTGGGTCCCTGGGTCTAAGGGAGGAGGCTGGGCCTGGACCCTGGGTCTGAGGGAGGAGGCTGGGCCTGGACCCTTGGTCTGAGGGAGGAG